TCTTAAAAACCTCCAGTGATGGAGCATCCACAACTTCTGGTGGCAAGCTGTTCCACTGGTTAATTGTCCTCACTGCTAGGAGGTTTCTCCTTAATTCCAGGTTGCTTCTCTCCTTGGTTAGTTTCCACCCGTTGTTTCTTCTCCTGCCTTCTGGTGCTTTGGAGAACAGGGTGAAGCCCCTTCTTTATGGCAGCCTCTCAAACACTAGGAGACTGCCTTCGTCTCCCCCCAGTCTTCTCTAGCCTGGCCCAACCCAAATCCTGCAACCGCTCTTCATATGTTTTAGTCTCCAGGCTACAGTGGATGGATATTGTTTTAGAGAGGCGGGTGAAGTTTGGGAAGGAGAAGAGGGTCGTGGTGGGGAAAGGGGAGGAACGCCTCCTCCCCCCCCCCCGGGTCTCTGGCCGCCCCCACAGGACTTGCTTTCCTTGCAGGAGGAGCCCAACCTCCGCAAGGCCTCCATCTGCCTCTTTGGGAACCTGGCCAAGTTCAGCTCCGGGAGTGGTGAAGACGCCTTCTTTGAGCAGATCCTCAACGGCCTGGTGACCTTGCTGCTACATCTCCAGGACCCGAAGCCAGAGGTCGTCAAGGTGGGTGCCCCAGCGGGGAGGGACTCCGCTCCCTTCCCCTCTGTGGGGAAGGTCCCACCACTCCTCCCCTCTCCTTCCTCGCAGGCCTGCAAGTTTGCCCTGCGCTTGTGTGGGCCCATCATGGGCTGCCCTGGGCTCTGCGAGATGTTTCAGAAGCACCTGCATGAGGAGTGGAGCCTCCACTACGGCGAGTTCATGAATGACGTCTGCAAACACCTGGTGAGCGCCTGGCCTTTGGCTGCCCCGTCCTTCCCGCAGGCGAAGGCCATGCAAAGCATTCCGGCTCCCAGTCTCTGCGCCAGGGAAGGTGCCGGAGCAGCTACTACACAACCAGTTTCAAAGCAAGCAGGTCCAAAGCACAGTCCGATGAGTTCCAATTCCAGATTAGTTCCAAAGGAGCCCATGCCGACCTTTATCGGGGATCAGGAGAAGGTCCAGAAGTACCCTAGGCTTCCGCTGCTGCTTGGCTGGAAGCGGGAACTTTCCCAAGTGGAGGGATCCTGCTTTGTGGCTGAGCTACTGGGTTGAAGCGGCCCTTCGGCTTTCCGGCCCATCTGCAGTTTCCAGGGTCAACATTTGGATGCTGGCCTGGGTGTGTTGACCTAACATCTGGCTCCATTGCTCTGGTCAAGGGCCACCCAGCGCTACATTGTCCCAAACAGTAAGTTTCGGAGGCTCCAGCACTGTGCGGCCCATGACCAAAGCAATGAAGGCGACCCCTTGATTGGTTGCCATGGCCTGAGATTTCCCTCTTGGTCCAGATGCAGAGCTTCCCAGAAATGCTGAGTCGTTTGGTCAACATCAACCTCTTCTACTTCAAGAGCAACTGGGCTGACGTCCGAGCTGCTGCCCCCATGTTTGTAGGTGAGGCGGCCAGAGTGGAGCTCCCTTCCTGGGCTTTCTTGGATGGGCCCCCCTGGGACTGAGAGGGCCTTCTCTCCCTTCCCCCCAAGGCTTCCTGATCCTGCACGTGGACCGAGAGCAGAGCCAGCAGCTGGATCTGGACGAACTGATTGCTGGTGAGTGACCGAGGGAGGCGTTCCCTGGGGTGGGTGTGTGGCTGCCGGACTCCAGATGTGACTCTGCTGCTGCGGCCTTTGATGCCGTGTAGGAACCGTTGAGGGATCCAGCTGGTGGTCCCGGGAAAGGCCCCTCTCCAAATAGGGAAGTTTTCCTGGGCTTCAAACCTCCCTCTGGGCTGCATCCCCAGAGGGCCGGTCACTTCCATGCAGAGTGCGGCTGCGGAGCACGAAGGGGAAACGGTCTTTGTGCCAGCCTAGCAGCACCCCGCAAGGGGCGCCGTCCTGGGTGAAGCTGGTGGGGCGGAGACTTGCCTGCTGGGGGGGGCAGCCCCCTTGTCCTTGGCTAGCCCCAGCCCTGGACTGTGGGACGGAGAGGGTCAGGGCCGCGTTCCTGCGTGCAGCCCGGCTTCCTCCTCCCCTCAGGGTTGCCCCTCCGAGACCAGCCAGAAAATCCAGTTAGGTAATAAACTTTCCTGGGCTTTGCTGCTGTTTTTCCTTGTCAGCAGTGACCTCATCGCTCAGAGGAAGGCTTGGAAAATCTCTGAGCTTTCCAACGGAGCTTAAAAACCACTAAAAAAGGGAAAAGTATCTTTCCGTTGGCTGATGGAGCCGTCCCGAAGAGAGGCCCGTCTGTGTGCAGGGGTGGGGGGGGATGCCGGGAGGGGGAGCGGCAAGGACTCCGGATGGGGTCGCCACAGCTTCCCGTCTTGAGTGCGAGCACTCAGCCTGCCAGCCCCCCCTCTCCCCCCAGCTCCTGCAGCTGGCTGGGGCTGATGGGCGGGAAGCAGCTCTGTGCATAAATCAGGCCGTCTCACTCGCTCGCTGCTCTGGCGGGACAAGAGAGTCTCGGATTTGCAGTGTAAACATGCTACTGGAAAAACATTATTGTATCTCTGCTGTTTGGGAGGGACTCCTGGCCCCTCGCCGGCTCTGCAGCTGGGCCCGGGCCAGGCGCAGGCAGAGCAGCAGCCCAGGACAGCCGGCGGAGCCCTCCCCGGCTCCTGCCGCGTGGGCCGAGACTCTCCGTGGCCCCGTGGGCCTGAGAGCCGGGCTTCCGTCGGTGGTTGGCTTTCAGCCACGGCTGCTCGGATGGGGCGGGGGTTAAGGGAGGGTTGCAGAGGGATGCGCAGGGCTCCCGGTTGATTGACGGCCATTTCTCTCATCCAGCTCTGACTGTGCTGCTGAAGGACCCCGTGACGACAGTGCGGGCGAAGGCGGTGGAGACGCTGGGCCGGCTGGGCAGGGCCATTTAGGGACTGCCGGCCATGGACGCCCCCTCCAGAGGAAACGGGATTTTCCCCCCCCCAAGCTCCACGTTGCCCTCACACCTCCCGAGGGACGAGTCACAAGTCTTCCAGAGCAGCAACACCTCCACATACTGGAGCCTTCCCTGCCCCCAACACCTTAAAGAGAAGACCTGAAGTCTGTGCACCTTTTTGTGTTTCCATGGTTTTTTTTGAATTTCTGCAGGGGACCCCCCCGCACCCCCTCCCCCCACCTTGGGTAGGCTGGACCAAACACTGGGCAGAGTGGACTCAGGGGTGTTGCACAGGGGCAGCGTGGCCCCCCTCTGCCCACCAACCCTCCCCCCTCCCTGCCCCACACAGGAGCAGGTGCCTCCTGACTCCGGCACCCGCCCCTCCACCATCCCCAGCAAGGGGGAGGGGAGCGTCCCGCTGCGCCTTCCAAAGTTTATGCACCTTCCTCTCAGCCGGAGTTTGTACATAGACTCAGAGGACTTATTTTTAATAAACGATTTGCTTCTCAGAACCTCGAGGGCTCTTTCTTGGCTCCTTGGCCAGGAGAGGAGAGGGCCGCCCAATCCCCCGCGGCTTCTGGTGGCCGGCCTTGGGGGCTGGGGCTGGCAAGCCCCCTTGTGGACTGGCCAGCCTGCTGCTTCTGGGAAACCCCCTTGACCCCGGGGGCTGGGAACAGATCCCCCACCGCCCAGCTCCTCCTCCTCCTCCTCCTGTGGTTGGGCCAATTGCCTTGGGAGGCAGCAGGAAGGAGCCCCGATCCTCCCCTCGGCTTCTGGCCTGACCCAAAGCGGCCCCCAACCACCCGGTCAGTGGAGCGCTTGCAGGGAGCCTCTGAAGTCCTCCTTCCACATGGCCAGGCCCAGCCAGCCCCTCCGCCCCCCCTCCCCCAAGGTCTTGCTGCTGTTTGAATGGGAGCCCAGCAGGGCTGCAGCCGAGGGGGGATTGAGGAGAAAAAGCAGCAACAGATATGCTCCCAAAGGCCCCCCCCCCCCCCCCGCTTCCTTCCCTCTCTGGAAGTTGGACAGCTCCACCCGGCCTCTCTTCGCCCAATTCCTCTTCTTCAGAGGAAGGAGCAGCATTGTTTCTGAAGGACGACTCTGGCGCTCTGTAAACATCCAAAGCAGCTGCCCCCGTTGGGAAACTGGGGGCTCACGCAGGGCCCCTCTGGCCACCTGCTCCTCATCCTCCCCTCCCCCTTCCCCCGCAGTTCCACAAATTCAGGGGTCATTGCTTCTGTTGGGCCACAGAGGACTCAACCAGGTGACCTAACAGTTTCTGTTAGTTGCCTCAGATGACCTTTGTCCAGTTTTGCATTCAGGCTTCCTGCCCCCCTTGGCCAGCTGTGTCCACGATCCCTGCTCAACCACCAAGGACCACGAGAGAGAGCCGTGTTCTTAGGATGCCCTTGCCCACAGTCGACTTGGCCGTTGGTCCTATTTGGGGGTGGGCACACTCTTATGTGTTGGCTCCCCCACCCCAGGGGTTCAGCGCAATGAGCAGCTCAGCAGTCTGCAGTTCCTGCCCCCCCCCAGAACAGGCGTAGGAGCCCCCCCCCTCCCCTTTGGCCAAAAGTGCAGGAAATGCACCCCTCCCGTTCTGGCCCTGAGCAGGAGGGGAGCCACAGACGGAGCCCCCAACAGCTTCAAAGGGAAGCAGCCAGGAGGAGGGGGCTCCTTCAAGCAGGACAGGTGGGGAACCCCTGCAGGAGCCGCCCTCAGGGCCTGAGAGGGCCGGATTCCCTCTGGCCGTGGAGCTCGCTCTCCTTGCTCAGGTGGGCCAGATCTCGGGGTGCTTTTCTGCAGAGCACCCCCTCTTGCATTTGCAGCACCCCTTCTCCACTGCCAGGGCTTTTGGGGGTGGGGGGGGATGTGCATGGTGCTGTCTGAGCATGAAGCCATATGCCAGGGGGCCACGACTTGCTGGGCTGGTGGGCACATTCAGAACAGGAAGAGGATGCAGAAGGGACTTTTCTACGTGTACCCAGACAACAGCTGAGCCCCAAGACGTCTTGGGAAGGGTCAGGATCAGAGGCAGCTCCCCTCCCTCCCTCCCTCCCTCATCCACCCACCCACCCCCTTTATCCAGCCTACCCCCTGATTCTGGTTCTGGTTCTGGTCAAGGGGGCTTCCTTGCAAATCAGGCACTTTTATTATTTTCCAAGCGAGCGAGCAGGACAACGCAGAAGAGTGCCTGGTGCTCTGAGTATTCAGTCCTGTAGGAGCCCCCCCTCCACCCCCCCTCCAGTCAGTGGCCTGCAAGGTCTGAGGTTCCTCCTCCTCGCCCGGATCAAAAGCTCCGGCCTCCCAGGGAAAGGAGCCCACGGAGGGCCCGGAAACCCCCGGCTTCCCCTCTCCTGCCAAGTCTGTTGGGAGCTGGGCCCAGGGCTACGTGAAGAGCCGGACGGTGGCATCTGCGCCCGCAGAGAAAAGCCAAGGTTGTGTGGGGTGGAAGAGGACATCCAGGACGCCCAGGTCGTGGGCCGGCGCGTGGCCCCTCAGCACCTTCACCGGCACGAGCAGCGGGTTCTGAAGCAGGTCGCTGGAAGGAGAGGAGGAAAAGGGTCAGCGGTGCCAGTTCTGCCCGCTGATGCCATGTGCCCCACCTCCCCGCGGCAGACACTTACTTGTAGACCATCCCGTGGCAGACAATGACACTGCCGTCATCCGAGCCGGAGGCAAAAAGCGGGTAGGAAGGGTGGAAAGCCACCGACCTCAGGGCTGCCTTGTGGTGCCTGCCAGAGAAGGGAAAGGCTGACCCTTCCCTACAAGGAGGCGGCTGGGTCTGCTCCAAAAGGGAGGGGCAGGAGTGGGAGGGGGCTGCTGGAGGCAGAATGCCGGAGGAACCGGTCTGCCCTCGGGATGCCCTGCGTCCCAGGGGGAAGAAGCCCACCCGCATGGCACTCCGGGGCTGGAGCAGGTGGAGTTTGGCCAGCCATTCCAGTAGATGGGAGTGGGGAAGGGCTGCTCCCTACCTGAGCACCCGGTAAGGCTTGGTGGAGAGGTCCAGGTCAAACCAGGCCAGTCTGCTGTCGTAGCTGCCACAGATCAAGTTGTCGCCTGAGGAGAGGAGGGCCGTTGGGGCACATGCTGAAAGGCTGCCACCCGCTGTGCCAAGGCAGGGACGGGAGAGCTGCCCCTCTCGCAGGCAGGGCTGAGGGGGCCTCTCTGCTCGTGCCCAGGAGGGGGGGAGGCCCGAGCGCCCCCCCACCCCCGTGGCCCCAGGGACCCCCGCTCACCTCCGGGGTGGACAGCCATGCTGGAGACCCACTTGCAGTTGGTCAGCAGCTTCTTGGTCAGCTCCTGCTTGAGCAGGTGGTAGACGCGGACGAAGCGCTGGGTGGCCACGAAGAAGAAAGGCCGCAGCGGGTGGAAGAGGACGCACTGCACCTGGCCCTTGCTCCGGCGGAAGGGCGCCTGGCTCCAGCGCTTGCTGGCCTGGTGGATCAGCACCTGCAGGTGGCTGTTGTCCGACACCACTGTGGCAAAGTAGTCGCCCTTCCCGTGCCAGGTGACCTGCTTCAAGGGCTGAGGGAGGAGAGGGGGTTGGGGAAGGGCACAGTCAAGGGGCCTCCCCGCCCCTCCCCCCGCCCATGCCCAGGCCATACCTTCCCGAACCTCAGCCTGAGCCGCCCCCCCAGGCGGTGCTCCTCCTCCGTGGCTTCCTCCCACGTGACGGGCTGCAGACGGCCCTCCTCGGGGGCCACGTAGCCTTCCAGAAGTTGGTCGGTGGCCCCACAGAGCAGCTTGTCCCCGAGGCCGGGGTTCACCAGCAGCACCGCCTGCTCCCTGGAAGGGACGGGGGGCCCAGAGAGGGCGTCAGGGCCAGAGGACAACCCAATCGGACCAAGGTTCACCCTCCTCCCAGGCACAAAAGCTTTTGCCCCAGAGCAGCACCTGGGACACAGCCACCTTTCTCCACCTTGGGGGGAAAGAAGCCCCCCAAACGAGGCCTTTCCTCTGTGCCCAGTGGGGCACCCAGAGATTCTCCTCTGCTGGACCTGAATGGCAAACAGACCCTCTCCCACTTGTGGGGGGAGGAGGAGGGGGAGTATTTCCTCCCCTCCTTTCGCAATGCTTTTACACCACCGCCGTTGCCTTTCTCACCAGTCCCAGCCATCCAGGCCCCTCCCCCACTTCATGCTTGCCCACCCGGGAGCCCCCTTCAACCTGCCCCACGGCTGCTGGCCCAGAAGCCGGGCCCCTCCTGCGGCAGATGGAAGCCGTACTCACACAGCCACGGCCACCAGGCAGATGGTGGGGTTGGGGTTCCACGCAATGCTCTTCACCGCCGCTTGCACCGGGAGGGTTTTCACACACCTGGCCGTGCAGACCTCCCAGAACCTCACTGTGCCGTCGTCTGAACCTGGGCAGGAGACACGGGAGCTGTGGCTCTCTGGAAGGACGGCATCCTCTCCACCTGAGCCACGGGGGGAGCCTGAATGGCCTTGCACCCCTCAGCCCCGGCAAGGGTCCCGATTTCTCCATCTGCCTGAGGGGGAACTCCAAAGGCCATGCCTGCAGCAAGGTGGATGGCTGGGGGGCTTCGAGCTGCATCTCAGACCGGAAAGGGCAGCTCCTTTCACCAGGGCAAGGGGGCCAGGCAGTGGGGCCATTCCATAGCTGCCACCCCTCCCTTCCATATCCAGGGCCATCTTGCCCAGGAGTCCAGCTGCCTCCCCCCAGCTGCCCTCTCCCTTCCTTGGAGCGTCCCTCGTGGCCAGGAACAAACCCACCGCAGGTGCTCAGGGCAGGAGAAGCAGGGGCTGCCCAGGGCAACTCACCTGATGCCAGCCACTGCCCAGTAGGAGAGAGGCTGATGCAGCGCACGAGGCTGGTGTGCCCACGATACACCTAGAGAGGGACAGGCAGGCGAGTGAAGCAACCACAGGAAGAGCAAAAAGGGCATCCTGGAGCAGCCCACCTCCCCAAAACAACCCTGCCACAAGAGTTGCCCGTTTTCAACATCTGTTCCAGCCGCCCAAAGTTTTCAGCCCAGGCAGAAAAGTGGCCCAGCAAAAACCCAGAGCCAGAAGCCCTGGGCCTCCCACCGCCCCCTCCAAAACCTCACCAAGGCCTGCACGGTTGGGAAGGGCTTCAGATCCTGGGGCTTGGGCAGCTTGGGGATGAGGTCCTCAGGGTCCACGCTGACCTAGGAGGGAAGCCGTCCACCCTCAGTTCCAGCTGGAGCAGCTGCCCAGGCTGGCTCAGGGAGGAACCCACGGCGTGCCCTCCATCAGGATCAGACGATGGCAATGCACATGCCCCCCCTCCCCCAAATACCCTGGCAGGGGCAAAGCAGCAAAGCCCACCCGCATCTTCCTCTGGCGCGGGCACAGGTAGAGGTCGAGGCAGCGCTCGAAGCGCTCGTGGATGAAGCGGGGGAAGGCGGGCACACGGCGCAGGCAGTCGTGGCGCTGGGGCACGAAGTTCAGCTTGCGCTCCGAAGGCTCCTGCTGTTCCCAGGCGAGTTTCTGCAAGGGGTTGTGGGGAAGAGATGAGGAGGGGGCAAGACCCCATCCCAGGGGGTCTCCTGTGGCACCGGCTGGGACTTCCTCCCCCTTGGGATCAGGGAAGCCAGGCCCAGCTCTGCTCACCTCTTCCTCGGTCGGGAGATACTCCGGAGGGGGGTTGTAGGACTCCTCGTGCCCAGGTAGGGGAAGTTTGGGGGCGGGCACGTGCATCTTGTGCCGCCCCAGGATGGAGTTGTGGTCCTCCTGGGCCCAAAGGTCGTAGAAGACCCCTGTGTCCTCCCGGGGCCTCCTGGGCTTGATCCAGCCCATCTTGATGGCGTGCACCAGCCTGGAGACCTGCAAGGGCAGAAGAGCCGCCGTGAACCCACCCCATGATCCTCCGGGAGCCACAGGTGCCCCGGGCCAGGCCTTCTCCCGCGTTCAGCATTTCCCCGCCTTCCCTTCTTTGGAGAAAGAGGGCCATTAACTGGACAGCCTTGCCAGGGGAACAGCCAGGGCACCTGAGCAGTTTTGTTGGGGTTCAGAAAAAAGTTAGCAGCTGTGATGTGCCCACCCAGGCAGTAAACCAGAAGGGATCTGGCCAGGACCCGGTCTGGGCTCCAATCACTCCAGCGTCTACATGCCCAGGCTGCTTCTTCTGGGGGCCGCTTTGGCACAAGGCAGCGACCTCTCAGCGCCATCACCCTGACACCTGAGCAAGTCACACACAGCCCCGCCAAACCCTCTGGATCTAAAAGGACGGACTGCTGGTTTCTGTGTGGGGACAGCAACTCCTGGGACGTGGGGCGCATTCGGGGCAAGGCCAACGTCAGGGTGGGCCCAGACCCCCCTCCCCATGGAAGCCCTTTCTTTTTTCAGCAGCTCACCTTCTCCTTCTCTACCAAGGAAGGGATGAAGCTCCGCTTGTCCGCAGGCCGGTTGGTCACCGGGTGGATCCTCACCTGGCTGCTAAAGAAGTCCACGGCCGGCTGTAAAGGAGTCAGAGGTTTGGGGGGGGGGGGCTGCAGCTGCAGGAAAGCACTGCTGCCCCCCTCAATTGTGGCTCCCTGGGAGAAAGGAGGGAGCAATAGCCATTTGCTTACCTCGTACGGATTGAAATTCACATCCCCAAACTGGCCGCGCTGGAGACGGTTCACCAGCTCCACTTGCTCGTCCGTCAGCTTCACATCCGCCCCGGTCATCTTGTCCTGGACCGTTCGCCTAGGGGGGTGGGGAAGAGGGAAGACAGAGAGCACGAAGCGGGGGGGGGGTGCAGAGTGAGTCATGAGCAGCTGTGCTTCCCAGCTTACCTGTCTCTCCCTGCAACAGACCCCACCCAGCCTCGGCCCAGAAGCCAGGCCCTCCGGGGGGGCGGGGGGGGCAGCCTCACCAGTAGTCGGGGTTCTCCATCTTCTCCAGGAACCTATCCAGCTCGTCCTTGGAGCGGATGGGCTTGTAAATCTGCTTGCCCTCCAGGTTGTAGCCGATGTGCGGGAAGTCCTGGTACCACTCCATGGGGATGTTGCCCACCGTGTTGCGGATGTCCTGGAAGAAGAAGGGCAGGCGGGGCTCAGGGGGCAGTCAGGGACTTCAGTGGAGGGGGGAGAAGCTTGGAAGAGACTCTCCTAAGGGGGGGGTTACTTCATCCTGATTCCCCCCCCCCTCCACCTGCCTCTTCACTTGCTTGCAGGAGGACCTGGCACAGGACGGAGCTGCCCCCAGAGAGCAACGCAAGAGGGGCTGAGCTGCAGGCGCAGGGAAGGCGGGAATACAAAATCCCTTTTCCTCCAAGTGGCGAGAGGCGCTCAGTGTTATGGATCAGCTCAATCATCCCCCAGCCGCCTCTGGGGGCTTTGCGGCCTATCCCGCCAACTGGCTCTCTGCTGGAAATCACACTTCTGGCCCCTTTGGAGCAAAGGAAGGGGGCTCCTCGGTTGGCCCCCTCCACCTCCTTCCCTGCCAGCTGACTCAGGGCAAAGCTGCTCCCCTGTCTTGGAGGCATCTCCGGGAGCCCTCCCTTTCCCACCTGGGTCACCATCCGGGTCCCAATGAGCGCATGGCAGCAAGGAGGGAGGCCCTGAGGCAGGAGAAGAGCCTCCCGCCCCCTCGCAGGGCCAGGAATCCATCTCCTAACCAAGGAGGTTGACCATATCCAGGTGACTCATCGCCAAAGCTTCTCTCCTCCCCCGGCAAGGGAAGCTGCAGAAGGAAAAGGGGGTCCCTGGAGCCACTCAGGGGATCCCAGGGCTGGCAGATGGCCATGCTTGACCTCCTCTTACTTTAGGCCCATTTACTGGGCCTGGCATGAAGAGTTGGACTGACTGTCCCTCCAAGGCCGCAACACACACACACACCGCCTCCTGCAGAGCTGCGAGACGTGGGGCCAGAACAGACAAGGACCAATGCATTGTCCTCACGGCTGCCCTCCCCCCCCCATCCCAGAGGAGCTTGACAAGCCAGCAGCACCAGCAGAGGGTAAAGGGGAGCTGCTGGGAGGGATCTTCTAGCCCCCCCCTTCCCTGGTGTGGGTGGAAAGGCATTTCACAAAGAGGGAGTCCTCAATCTGCTTCCAGAACCGGGGTGGGACATCCACCTAGCATTGTCCGTCTGTCCGTCCCCACGGACGCTCTGAATGAGAGGCTGCTGTGAAGGAGGAGGAGGTGGAGTAGACACCCAAGAGCACAGCAGAGCAGCCAAGGGCCTTTCCTGTGTGGGGCTGATGCCAGTAGCAGCTTTCCCACCCCTCCAGCTGCCTCCCACAATTAACACATCACACCCCCCCCCCCCCCCGTCCCCCCCCCCCCCCCAAGGCACTGCCGTCACTCAGCCACACGTCTGGAAGTTGCTCTTGGAAGAGCAGAGGCATTCCTGGGTGTGCATTCCTGGCACGGCTCTGCCTTGAAAATTGCTGGTCCACGTGGAGAAAGAAGAGAAGGGGGAGCAGCCGGAGGGAAAGGGGGGCAGGCGGACTTTGGGATGGGGGGAGGGAAAAGAAATCCCCCCCCCCGGACAGACTCTGCTGGCCCTGCTCCAGAGCTTGGCAAGGCCTGAACTGGGAGGGGCCCTGTGCAGGTTCCGGGGGGGGGGAGCCCCAGGACTTCCCCCCAAAAGGGTCGGATGCCCTTAGAAGGACTGACCGCCAACGCACAGGGCCCACTGAGGAGGGAGGGAGGGAGGGAGAGCTCTTTCTGACTTCTCTCATCCGGGAAACGGAGCAAAGTCAATGGGGACGTCCCATGGCTGAGGAAGGTCTCCATGTGGGCAGGAGTCCTGCAAGGCTAGGCACATTTTTTTCACCGGCTTCCCTCCTCCTCGTTCTCTTCCCCTGCCCAGAATCAAGGAGCGCCCTTAGAAGGACTGACCGCACAGGCCAGAGCCTTTCTGCAAAGGGCCAAAAGGGAGACCGTGCCAGACTCTCCTGGCCTCTCCTTCTGCCCCGTGCTGACCAGGTGAGGCCGGAAAGCACAGGTGTCTCTGCCCTGCCCCCTTCCCTTTCCTGGCTGGCCTCTCACTCCCCCGCACAGAGGGGGGAAAGCAAGCAGACCCCTGGGCCCACCAAGGCAGCTCAGCCCCTGCTTGGCCCAGGAGATTCCTTGTTTGGGTGCAGACAGGAAGGTCTTCCCTTGTAGAGCGGAGGCTGGCAGCCCCCAGCCAGGGTTCCTCAACAGTCGGGGGGGGGGGGGGGGGGGGGACGGACCTCAAGGCACCTGTTCCCCAGAGAGGAGCCGCTGCTGTCCTGGCCAAGAGAAGGAAAACTCCAGGAGCAGAGCTGGGTCTGCCCAGGGTGCTCACCCGAGCCCAAAGGCCTCTGAAATGGCTCAGCCTCATTGTAGGCCTGACTGGCCGCCCTAAAAGGAGGCTGCTTAGGAGGCCCTGCAATTGCAAGCCAGCTTCCCAGCACGCAATGGGTCAGAAGTAAAGCTTGGGCTCCCACAAGGTTCTGTTTAGTTATTTAAAACATTTGTATGCTTTAAAGCAAGATGTGGGACCAGGTCAGACAGAGATTGATTGATTGATTGATTGATTGATTGATTGATTGATTGATTGATTGATTGATTTATCCATCCATCCATCCATCCATCCATCCATCCATCCATCCATCCATCCATCCATCAATCCCACTGCCTGATGCCCAGTGATTCGGGGGGGGGGGGGGGGGGGCTGAGATAAAAGCCCAGCCAAGTGAGCCAGACTGGTTGCTACTTCACAGCCCAGCAAGCGGTCCAAGTCCTGCTGCTGATGCTTTGCTGGGTTTTGTTTTGAAATCAGGAATGAGTTTAAATCAGCAACCAGGTGAAGCCTGCAGTGCCAAGCGCAGCCTACCTGGCTGCTGCATCAAGAGAGGACTCAAGATCAACGTCTCCACGTGCTGAAGGACACTGCTGCGTGCCCTGGCTTAGCCACAGCTGAAGACCCTGGGAAGCAGCTGCGCCTTAACCCAGGAGGGTGTCTCTGTGCACCAGAGCCCCTTCCCCAATCTCACCCCCCCCAAAGGACAAGAGGATTCTCCTTCCCTCACCCTTTCCCTGGGGACAAGTCCTCCGGGTAATCCACAGGGCATGTTTCAGGGGCAGACGAAGGAACCAATATGCGTGTGGGGCACCTGAAGGATGGGGGAGGTTTTCTGTTCCACAACAAATCCAATGGGGTGCAGGTGGGGCCCAGCAGGGCCTGGAGCTGCTGAGGCCTTCAGGAGAGCAGCAGCCCAGGAAGGGTTAATCCTCCCCACCCTGGCCAAGAGTAGACCCTCCTCTGTCCTTCCCCAGACACCTCCTGCCTGGACTGGGCTGACCTCGGCAGGAGGCTCCTAACTGCTGCGGGCAAGCCAGTCGACTGGTTCTCCCCCGCCCCCCCCCCCCCCCCCCAGTCCCGGAGGAAGCCCCAGCCAGCCCAAGCTCTGCATCCAACAGGTGAAGTCAGCGCATGGCCTCCCCCTCCCAACCCTCCAGCTTGCAGCCCCCAGGCGGGGGTGGGTGGGTAGGGAGGCGCTCCCCCCTCCGGAGCAACGCTCAGGTAGGCGTGAAGCGAGGCGGGGAGGGAGGGGCCTGTCGGGCCGACCATCACGGACAATATAAAACTCGCGCGCGCCTGTCCAGCCGCTGCCGTCGCCCAGGAGCCGCCCGCCCACCCGTCTGTGGCCGTCCGTGAGCGGGGAGCGCGGAGGGAGGCGGACCGCGGGACTCCCTCGCCGGGCATCAAGAGTCAGCCGCCGCAAGATGCGAGGTCGGAGCTGAGCCGGTCCGTGTCCGCCCAGCCATGTCCTTCGCCCTGCTGCGCTCGGCGCCCAGCCGCTTCCTGTACCCGGAGATCAGCATGCTGTCGGAGGAGGACGAGGAGAACGGCAGCGGCGAGAGCTCGGGCTCGGACGAGAAGCCCTACGCGCTGGAGGCGGGCGCCTACGGGCTCCGGGGCGGCAAGCGCGGGCCGGGCAAGAAGGGCAGCCGCGGCGTGGCCCGCGAGCCCCGCCAGCGCCACACGGCCAACGCGCGGGAGCGCGACCGCACCAACAGCGTCAACACCGCCTTCAGCGCCCTGCGGACGCTCATCCCCACCGAGCCGGCCGACCGCAAGCTCTCCAAGATCGAGACGCTGCGCCTGGCCTCCAGCTACATCGCGCACCTGGGCAACGTGCTCCTGGCCGGGGAGGCCTGCGGGGACGGGCAGCCCTGCCACGCCGGCCCGGCCTTCTTCCACCCCGGCGGCGGCGGCAAAGGCGGCAGTCCGGCCGTCCCGGAGAGCGACGGCTCCCAGCCCAAGCAGATCTGCACTTTCTGCCTCAGCAACCAGAGGAAGCTGGTGAGTGGCTGCTGGGGGGGGGGGGGGAACCCCCGGGGGGGAGGGGGGCCCCCCCCCGCGGAGCCGCGGCCCGGCCGGCAGAAGGCAGGGCGGGCCCCCCCCCGGGCCCCCCCCCCCCCCAGCAAAGCCCCCCATGGGCGGGTCTCCCCCCCCCCCCCCCGCCCCCAATGGAAGAATCGAATGTTATCTGTGGGTTACAGAGAAAAGCCAAGGGGGCAAAGCGAGAGAGGGGAGCAGTCCTTGGCTTTTGGGCAGCCAGGATTGTGCCATCTTGACAACCTCTTACTAGCTAAGGGCTGTTCCCAAATATTTTGAAGGGCAGCCTGAGGCTTTCCCGAAGCTCCCTTGGACCCACCAGAAAGCAGGGACCCGGATCCTCCTCGGAATCAGAGCACCCACCTGGGCTGCTCCAGGGAGAAAAGGGGGGCTCCTCCGGGTGCTTTATTCCCCGAAGGGCCCCAACAATTCCAGGGAGCAGAAGGCTCCCACTGGGAGGCTGAACTCGGTTCCAAACACAACTGTTACGTAAGGGAGGAAGCCCTTCCAGGCCCACTGAGCTCTTCAGCGGGAAGCAAAGAAACTGCCTTCACACAACAAGCACCCCCCCCCCCAATATCTGCACATGTGTACAATTGGAAGGAACCCTTGGCAGAGGAAGGGAACAGGGAGAGGGAGAGAGAGAGAGAGGGAAAGAGAGAGGTTAGAGGAGCATCATTGGGGGACCCCATGCAAAGCCCAGACTTTCAATCCTGCCTGCTCCAGAATCCACTGGGGGTTTGGGGGAAGGGGAGGGACCCTGCAAGCCCAAGGATGCTTCCTGCCGGCAAAGACCCTCTCTCTAATAAAGACCAACACTGCAGCCCAGTAGTCCATGGCCTGGTGAATGCCAGCCTTGGATCTTCCCACACCTGCCTGCCTTGCCGCTGCTTGTCGGGATAAGGGGCTCTCTCCCACCTGGTCTTTAAGCACATTTTAGGCCTGGGGACCCCTCACTTCACAGACACACAACAAGCCAAGTATCCATTAGGGTACTGAGAACACGGGGACTGCCAAGCGCAAGGACCCTCCGTACTTAAGACAGCTGTCCATCAGCTCCCGATATTTGGGCTGGCTGGCATGGGAAGAGGCTAAAGCCCACCCCCAATACGGCTGAAAGTGTTTGACTGCAAGGTCCTCCACCCAGAGACTTTAGCAAGGAATGTTAATTATTGTTACAGAAAAAAACATGGAGAGGCAACAGCCGCACCTGGCACACTTTCGGTTGTAACTGTCCTTGAAGATTTTAGGTGTGATTTTTTTTTTAAAAAACCTATTTAAAAATGTTTAAAGTGAAACAAATGCATTTTCCCGTTGACCGTTTTGGATGTGCTAGTTCCACAACAGCCTGCAATGCTGAGGAGGAAACTCTTTTAAGTTCATGTGTCGCAAGCAGTTCTAGCCTAATGGAAAGTTCCACGCAGTACAATCTCCACGTTTCTGCTCCTGCATGGAAGGGCTTAAGGAAGGGCTGCATTTCAGTCGGGGGTACAGGGGGCTCAGGACAGCCTCTAAGGCAGCTGGCCCTCAGCAGGTCCGGGGCCAGAGGCTACGGAGGCCGGGGTGCCCAAGGGCAGAAAGCAGCGTGGCAAAACCTGGGAGAAGCCAGCACCGCTGACGTCAAAGCCTCCGAGAGCAGGAGAACCCCTGGCTTCCGTGGCGGAAGGCAGATGGAGAACCTCTGGCCACCCAAAGGCCGACCGGTGATCTCATGAAAAGCCACCCTTCGCGTGAGGAGGAGTGGAGGTGCTCCAGGAGCAAGAAATGGGGGCGCCTCCAGATTTCTTGGACCACGACTCCCAGAGGTACCCAGATTAAGACCTGTGGATGTAATTGTGTATACAGGGCAACCAAAACATTCCCTCAAATCAATCTTAATGAAGGGCACATTTGGGTTAACATTCAAAGAAAGGAAGAGTCTATGGAACCAGACAAGATAAAAAGGACCTAGAGAGGCGTCCGAGGAAAAATACTAAAACGATCGGAATTCAATCTTGCCCAGTCTGGGTAGGTGACTCAATTCTCCATGAGATGCTTCACATGAACAAAACAAGCAAGCTTCTTCTGGAAAGGAAAGCAGGGGGCCTCGTCCAATGGGGCTCCCTTGACCTCCTCTTCTCTCTCTCTCTCTCAAGCGCCGCAACACGGGTGGATCCCCACCACCTTTACCCGAACATCAGAGCAGGCGGCCTTTCCTTCCACACTCAGCCTTCGAAAGGTGCAAAGAGCAAGAGAGAAGCACGGCCTGCAGGCCAGAGCACACAGATCCGAGGGAGGAAGTGTGTCTCAGTGGAAAAGACCTCTTAAAAAACACTCCCTCTCCTTAACTCCGGCACCTGCAGCCCTCAAGAGTACATGACACAAACGGCACACAAATGCCTCCAATCTTCTCTAAAGCAGGAGGGCCCCTGTGCAACGTAAGTCTCTCCTTGCACTAGGAGAGAAAGTAAGCTACCTCTTAAACATGGCATAGGTGTAAATTTGCAATGCAAATTCCAAAGGCTTGTGATTCTCACAGCTACTGTAATTGTTTAGAGGAGGCTGTGGTTTCAGGGCTCATTTCTCGCACGTTTATTCTATTCCTCTACATGGTGGCAAGCGAGCGTTGGGATCTTGCGTCTGGGAGTGTGTGCATTTTTCTCCGCAAGCTACTCTCCTGAGGAATTTGAGCAACAATTCAGGGCAAGAGCAGAGCTCCGCAGCAGCCCAATTCCTAAAGCCCCAGAAGACAGAAAAACACTCGGCCACTTCCAGTCTGGCTGCGAAAGGAAAATTGCACTCTGCCCTTCAAAAGGGTGTGTGGGCAGGGAGAAGCGCCCACGTGCGCACGCATTGCTCTGTGGCATCCAGGAACAGAGGCTGCTGTAGAGACAGAGCCACGGAAAACGCACCTTCTTGAGTTTCAGCGTGAAAAGGGAGATTTGCAACAGAAACCTATTTTGCTCCTGGGCAGGCACTTCTGTAAATCTATCTGTGGAGCAGAGGACCTTCCAAAGGTCATGGCACAGAAGGCAACATCCATCACCCAGAAGGAGAAAGTATGTACTAGGGAGACATAACTGCCCCCCCCCAAAAGGAACCCAATGCTATTTTATGGAACATTTTTATCTGGAAAGCGAGCCTGCTTTTGCAACCATCTGACCCAGTTGAAAGTAGATTAGCTTGGTCTTCATAACTGACCATTAGGACTGCAATTGGAAAACTTAACTACAACGCTAGGCAGCTGAGCGTGAAGTGCACCTCTCTCTGCTCTTCTGCAACAGCATTCCTTAACTTTGCCAGTGTCAATCCCCTCCCACTTACTTTGCCCAGAGGACGCAAATAAGGATTTTGAAATGATCTCATATGAAACTTCCAGAAGAGTTGGAAGAAGGAAGGAGAAAGTGGGATTTCTTTCTGATCCAGATTAAGGGATAAGGCAGGCTGGGAAAAGAAAGACCATCTGCAGACCTCAGATTTCTCCCTGTTCACAATCAAAGTGACACAGACAGAAGCGGAGAATTGGCCCTCAAACAATACACCTCTGGGCAGCCTGGCTCTTCGCTAAAATGGTCCGAAATGGGGGGATGTGGGGGAGCCCTATTTAGTCCCGAAAACCCAGCTGGAGTTAATTGAGTGACTTCAAAGCTGGGGCATTTTTGGACCGGAAGGGACCGAGGACAGCAAATTCTGGCAGAATTTATTTATCAGATGTATATAGCCACCCACCCCACCAAAATAGCACCCCAACCCAAAACATTTTTTAACAGGAAAGTCAAAGAGCAGCCGTGGCGTTTCATGAAAAACAGGGCAGGCAGGCAGAGAAGTGAGTCCAGAATTCCTCTGCTGCTGGAAACAGCATGGCGGCCACAGCTGCAGAAAACACAAACCGAGGAAGCCGCCCTACAGCAGGTCGGGTCAATGATTCCTCCAGGCCCACCTTATCCCCTCACTGACAACCACGGGCCTTTCCAGGACACTCCAGGAGAGGTGCCAGGGCTTGAACCTGGGTCACTCTCCCCACAGAAGGGGCGCTCTGACACTGGAGAAGCCCCTTTTCTTCAGAAGGTCCCGTATCCCATCCATGTCAGTATCTTCCTGGGACTGGCTGCCTCCCAAAAGGTCTTGGGGAGTGTCCTCCTTCCCTTGCATGCCTTTCGCCACACTTCTGGCTGCTCTCAACTTGATGCCGATGGAGGACAGAGGTGGAACGATGGGTGGGGACCCCCTGCTTGAAGTCTGGCAGGCCCCTCCCCCCCCCTAATCTCCAGATGGAGATTAATTGCACGAAAGTAGAGAGAGCCCCCAACAGTTGCTGCGTTATGTGGCTTATAGCACTGGCCAAAAATGAAAGGCAAGTGATTTTGTTAATTTTTGTTTTGATGTTACACCATTTCCCACCTTACTTCTTGTCCCTACAGCATTTTAAGAATACGTGGATTATACTTTTAATCCAATAGTTAGCCAAATTAACTAGCCATTTATTGATCATTTTTTTTAAAACAAATGCTAAGCAGTCTAGCCCATCAATGCCAAGCCTATTCCAAGAAGCTCCTCAGGAGGCCTTTGGTGCCAGGGGCTCCAGGACTGGGTGGTTGACTGGAAGATGTCCCCTTGGGCGACTTCAGAAACAGCTGAGAGTTTTAAGTGCAGCCATCCCGAAAGGACTTGTAGACAACCACTGAATGGATTCAGATGTTTGCAAGAGAGCGCAATGGACTATTTCAAGTGTTCCTTTAGTTGCGTTCGCATAGTATTGTTCTCAGATGCGAAGACTACCTCAACAAAGGAGCATTCTGGAAAGCCTCCTGGTAGTAGTTTTTTTTTCCATGCCTGAAACTTGTTCAAAAGCACAGAATGCTTTTTTAACCGCCATACGCTTCTTTTGGTATTTTAGTGGTGGCATTTTCCTTTCCTTTCCTTTCTCTCTTTGGCAAAGGCGGTCACGCTTTCTCTCACCAACACGCCATAAGGGCGGTTGCAGCTGCTGGGCCTCCCATGTTCAAATGATGACCAGCTACTGTGACAGAGGCGCCAAGTCAAGGTTGCAATGCTACATTTTGGATGCAAACTACACTGAGAATAAGCAAACCAGCTTTTCTCCCATTGGCCGTGTTATCTGCCCTTTAACTATTTCATGTACAATGCTCCCTACAAGGAGTATAAATCCATATTTACAGCAAGCCAGAAAAAGCCTAGATAATACAATCCTATCCCACCCCTTAAAAATAATTCCACTCTCGATCACAGGACTGGAAGCAGGAAAGAAGGATTCTTCTCTGCCCCCCCCCCCCCCCGGCTCATTCCTAAACTCGGCCTTTCTCTCTCTGACTTCTGCCAAACGGGGCCCTCTTCTGCCCACCCACTGACAGAGAGACCCCGGGCCCCTTTGCGACTTTGCTTCTCCGCAGCCTGCTGGGGTGGGGAAAAATCAGAAGTGGGGACCAGGACTCCCAGGGAATGCGAAAGGCCTCTGGGTGCCCTGAACGGATTCTCGCCTTTTGCTCTCCTGATGGAAGGTCAAGATGTCCCCGGAGGTGAGGGAATCGTCCATGTGGTTGACTGGAAATAGGGAGCATAGCTGGGTTTAGCTCCAAGAGGCCGGACCGTCTCCCAAGTCTGGCCCTTCACTTTCACAAACCCAAACAGAATTACAAATAAAAAGAAGGGAGGGGTCGGAAGCCCAGGTTTTTTTTCTGCTTTTTTTAACACCTCTGGTGAATTAGTAGTTTCTTTTAACAGCAGGAATCTGCTCCCACTTGAAGCCAAGTGGGCTTAATCTCCACCAAGGCAGCTGCACCTCCAGAGGTCTAGAGGGGTCAGGCATTCACAGCGCTGGGTGTGTGTGTGTGTGTGTGTGTGGAGGAAGAGACCTCTACACGTAGCAAGACCAGATGGGATTTCTGGATCCTTCCAGCTCGAGGGCTCCTGCAAAGGCCAGCTGGTAGTCCCTGGATGGCCGTGCTCCAAAGAGCATCAGGAGCCCCTCAAGGCTTCTCCCCACCACCACCTCTTCCACTGCAGTGTTTCGGAGTGTCAAAGGAGCCGTGTCCCTCTTCCAGGCATGCAGTGGCTCAAGTGGAGAGCCTCCCTCTGGTTCAGGGCCAGGAGGAGCCCTGAATCTCCTGAGAAGAGCACCCTTGTCCCAGGGACCCTTTTCTTGGGCAAAGCTCCCCAGCTTTCCCCTCCCTCTCAGGCAACAACCAGCAGAAGCGGCAGGCTGAACCGAGAGGTCCCGGGGATCCCCGCAGGCACTTCAGCAAGCAGGGAGAGGCACCTGGAAGCCAGCTGTGTAGCCCCCTTAATTTACTGTTCCTGCTTTTAGGGGAAACGGAAAAGCAATAGGATCAGGGGAAAAATATGGGGCGGCATTTTCCGGATCCCCATTTCCTCTCCAGACAGCAAGAGGGCTCTTGGGGCCTGAACATCTGGGAAATTCAATGCGGCTGTTCCTGGGCTTGCCCCTCCTCTTTAACGAAGGACGGGGTTGCCCATTAACAACCATCCACTGGCCGTTTATCCCATCCGTGGGGCCTCCTGACCCCAAGGCCCCCCCCCTTAAGAAGCTGCCTCAGGATGTTTGTATTTCCCGTAAAGCAACCCTGACCTGCCTCTGAAGGCCCCCAAATGATGAGCAGCCAGGGAGACTCTGACCGTTGCCCAGCCCAAAGACTTCCAGTTAAACACTACTCCCCCCCCACCACCAAGTTGCTTCCTAACTGCAGGAAAGCAAAGGACAGAGAGCCACTTTCTTTCAAGGAGGGGAGGGGTCCTAATAAAGGAGGGAAGGGGCAGCACTGTGGAGGGCCAGGGCTAACAGCCCGTTTGCTTGTTTGTTTGCTTATCATGGTGTTTGCTGCCCATCTGGCTGCCAGGTGGCTCTCAGCTGCTAGGTGAAGACCTGCAGCCGGTTCTGGGTGGCTTTGCATAACTTCCCTCTGTCCCTTTGCAGAGCAAAGACCGAGAAAGAAAGACAGCGATTCGCAGTTAGCCCCTCGTGGAAGCAGGATGGTGGTGGTGAGGCTGGCGGCAGGAACTATGAGGGCGAAATAAAGAGACGGCCTCCCCTGGCCCACCTGGGCTGCCCCCTGGAGCTGTGCGCTTGTGCCCGGGACAAACACAAGGGCAACCGGGGGAGACGGAAAGCCCGAAGGCTGGATCTGCAGGCAAGCCAAGCAAATACGGCAGGGCCGTGCCGGGTGGAGGAGGCACAGCTCCTAGGACAAAAGGCTTCTCCTGCTCACCAGGGACTGGCGTCTGGCGGAAGCATCCTAACTGACCCACATCCTCGGAGGCCAGAAGAAAAAGGGAGGGCGCTCCTCCGGTAGTTATGGGCCGTCCTGTTGTCGGAACTCTGGATGGCGCTGTCATGAGGACTGGCTGGACTTTCCTGCCTTGATAATAATATAAAATCCAAATTGTTTATATAATGATATTTTTGTAAATATGCAACATAAACGTCCTTTCAGACATTCTGATTTTGGTCCTGCTACTTCTAGTTGAACTTAAAATGCCCAGGGTCCTATGCCTTCTCTCTCTCTGTAGTTTGTGTTAATTTACACAAGGCATGTGTGTGTTTCTGTCAGTATGGGGTTAGAGGTCAGAAGGAATTAACGCTTCTTAGTACAGGAAGCCCAGAGCCAATGACAGGTAGTCCTCGACTTAGAACCACAATGTTGCTAAGTGAGAGGACTAAGTGAGTTTTGCCCCATTTTACGACCTTTCTTGCCACAGCTGTTAACTGAATCACTGCAGTTGTGAAGTTAGTAACACCCGTTGAATGAATTTGCTTCCCCTTGCTTTTGCTTGTCAAAGGCTACAAAAGGGAATCACGTGACCCTGGGACACTGCGACCGTCATAAATACGAGTCAGTTGCCAAGGGTCTGAATGTTGATCACATGACTATGGGGATGCTGCAATGGTCATAAGTGTGAAAAACAGTCATAAGTCACTTTTTTCAATGCCATTGTTAACTTCAAACGGTCACTAAATGAACTGTTGTAAGTCGGGGACTACCTATAACAGCATTTTCTTGGACTTTAGCCAAACCATGTGAGCATGCTCCCTGGCAGCAGGATGCAGCCCAAGCAACCTTGTGCAAAAGAGAAAGGCGGTCAGGAGCTGCCTCGGGTGGCAGGAGGCCAACGCACTCCAGGAAGGGTGCCAAGAAAAGGGGGGGGGGTTTGGGGCAGGGGAAAAGCATCCAGCTGCTTCTGTGTACCCTGTTTTAAAAACCAGCATCACTTTTCATTGAGAGGAAGATTTCCCACAAACACAGTATTGTTGTTGTTGTTGTTATTATTATTAATAATAATATTGAGCTCAGAAGGGCTTCAAGCAGTTGACGCTCCTGCCCAAGAGCAACACTTCCCTCAAACATTAAGGCAAACCCAGCAGCCAAGTAAGACTTAAATTTAGATGAAGACCTGAAGATTTCTCAAAAAGCATAAGGTGTAAACATTGGTGGCCCATCAGGATGCCTCCTCTGGGTAGACTAGAGAAAAACATTTGCTTACGTGTTCACTTCTAAAAGTGAACCCGCAAAGGTTCTGCCTACTTGTCCAAAGAAAATCTGAATGCCAAAACCTCTGCAGACGTGAATGGCGGAGAAGGATGGAGGCCGGATTCAGGCTTCTAGGGCAGAACCGGAATAATGCACCAACAGCTCCCAAGCCTGCACCAGGGTTGACCCTGGAGCAAAGAGGGTTTTGGTCTTCCTCTGCCAGGCCGAGGGGAGGGCTCGACTGGTCAAGTCCAGCCTGCCTACTTCTTGCTCTGAGACCACAGAAATGTCAGCTTCTTGAGGGAAAAAATATCCTAATTAAAAAAACAACAACATTCAGAGCAGCAGACACCATATCTAAGGGCTTAACCCATTTAACCTGCCACAACTTCAGCATCATTTAAACCAGGGGTGGGTAAACATGGACCCTTTGCGACCGGTGGATTTCCGGAATTCCCGAGCCGGCCATGGGGGGGTCATAAAGGGGCCCACCCCGGTTTAAATACTCAGTTGCTTTTGTCCTCCCCCCACCTCGAGCTTTAGCTTCAGGTGGCACAGTCTGAAGTGGCAATGGCGAAGTGGCATCAGGCTTTGCATGACCAGAGCTGTGTGGCTGGTTTTTTGGGTGTCTACAAGCCATGCAATTTCCCAGGCTCCATGCCTGAGCCAAAGGTGGGGTTAGAACTTGGGGTTTCTAGCCTGGTGCCATGAAACAACCCCAAAGTGGCTCTCAGAGACATCTTAAGTAAAGAGGGTTTATTCTGAGAAAAAGTGAGCATTTGTTTTTAGGGCTAACCGTCCCCCTCCCCAAAACCCAGCATCTTTTCAGCAACATTTGTCATTCTGGAGGCACCATATGCTGCATCAAAGGGGAAAAAACATGGTTCATCCAGCAGCAAGGTGGGGGGATTCAATTACATCCACCTATGTGCTCACTAAGAAAGTTGTGGCACCCAACAAAACTGCACCTGTTTCTTAGACAGGGCCTGGTGGCTCAGCAGAGTTAGCATTGTGATTAACACCAGCTGCCTGCAATTACTGCAAGTTCGAATCTCCCCAGGCTCAAGGTTGACTCAGCCTTCCATCCTTTCTAAGGTAGGTGAAATGAGGACCCGGTTTGTGGGGGCAATAAGCTGCCTTTGTATAAATATACAAAAGTATGAAGGCTATTGCTTAACGCACTGTAAGCCGCCCTGAGTCTCCGGAGAAGGGCGGCATATAAATCAAATTAACCAGAATGGCCAAATCTGGCACAAATAACAAACTTTGGCTATACAGAAATATAAGCCTAATTTCCTCAGAAGCACTTTCTATCTGTCCATGGTCAGTGGCCTTCTATCCCTGTGGCCAGCACAGGTTGATAGCAGCGTTCCAATAGTTGAGGGGCTGCCACAAAGAAAAGGGGGTCAACCTATTCTCCAAAGCACCTGAAGGCAGGACAAGAAGCAATGGATGGAGACTGATCAAGGAGGGAAGCAGCCTGGAATTAAGGGGAAATTCCCTGATAGTGGGAACAATTAACCAGTGGAATGGAAGTTGCCTCCAGAGGCTGTGGGTGCTCCATCACTGGAGGTTTTTAGGAAGAGACTGGACAACTGTTTTTCTACAATGGCATAGGGTCTCCTGCCTGGGGCAGGCGGTTGGACTAGAAGATCTCCAACGTCCCTTCCAACTCTGTTGTTCTTTTAAGCTCTGGAGACAGAAACTCTTATCATGAGCGAACTGGGGAAGAGTCTGGAAGCAATAATCCACATTATTTAAGAAGAAAAACAGCAGAACAGGCATTTCACTGGATGTCCTCCACCCTCTTTCAGAGCAGTTTTCCCCAAGGACCATGCTGGTTGGAAATTTGGGTTCTAGATCACAACTCCAGAAGTTGTGTATCCAGCACATCTGGAGGGTGATGATGTTAGTCCATTGTGTTCGAAGAGGACCTTGACATCTAACAGGTTGTGGGCTGCAGGTGGCTGGTGAGGCCTATATGGGCACGAAATGTTCATGCCAATACCATTGTTGCAGCATTTGCAGCTCTGGCTTTGCGGAGTGCTCGCTTCTCTTGTGCTATGGTTGTTCTTCTGTCCTCAGATGCCTGGCAGCCTTGGTGGATCAGCGTTCGCCATGTCAATCAATCTTGTGCCAGGGTTTCCCAGGAGGTGGTGTTGATAACCAGGGACTTGAAGGAGGCTTTCCATGTGTCTTATTGTTTCCTTTGTCCCCCTTGCGATCACTTTCCTTGAGGCAGCTCACCATAGAGGAGCTGTTTAGGGATGCGATGCTCTGGCATCCTTGCAACATGGCCTGCCCAGCGTGTCCGGGCTTTCATCAGCAGGGTGTCAACTGATGGCAGCCTGCTCTGGAGAAGACTTCTATGTCTGGCACCTTGTCCTGCCACCGGATCCTCAGAATTCTACGGAGGCAGATTGTGTGAAAGTGGTTCAATTGCCTAGCGTGACTCCTGTATACAGTCCAAGTCTCACTGGCATACGTCAGGGTAGTTAGCACTACTGCTCGGTAGACTTTGAGCTTTGTGGCAAGGCTTATTCCATGGCAGTCCCACCTTTATCTGGAGGGTGACACATGGATGAAGATCACTTTAGAAAATGACAGCAGTCTCAGGCCCACATATACAGCAGTGTCTGAAAACCTTGTTCAGTTAACAACTAATGTCAATTTTAGCAACCCATTTCTGATTTTAAATTCTTTGCCACAGTTTGCCACTCTGCAAAACCTTTCCTATAATCAGGTTGAAAACCCCATCTCTACATCACAGTCGGGCCAAATGGCTAGCATTTACATGTGGTGCACGGGGGAGGATACGGTGGAAGGCCTAAACGATGCATGCCACCATAAGCAAAGTACTTCTGAGTATTTCCTAAGCAGAAAAGAAAGGTGAGAGATCTGGGAAGGGAAAGTGAGATGCCAAAAAGTGAACGCGGAGGAATAAAACAGGTGAGCAGAAAGTTCCCTCCACATCGCAGGTTGCAGTCGGAGCACACTGGTTCTGCGGACCTCCTGCAGCTCTATTCAGGAAGAATGGACACAAGACAGGCGTTGGGAAGGGCAACCACCATTAGCTGGCAGCGCTGACCAAGTTTGTTTGCTGGATCACAAGCAAACGGAGAGAAGGGAAGAGCCGGGAGGGGGCACAGATTATTCAAGCAGGAGAAAGGAACACGGGCTATCAGAGGCCCAAAGGAGCTCTGCTACTCGGAGAACTTCAGGAAACAGACCCTCAAACGTCCTTCAGCAAGAAAGAGGATGCAAAGCCATTAACTCCCCCCCAGGCCGATGGAGGCTGAGTGGGAGTAGCCGAAGCTGTTAATGGAGGGATCCTCCTCCCTTGCTCCCTTAAAAATGGCTCAGGACCTCCAAGAAAAATACAACTGCCTGCCAATGTCGGAAGGCTTTCAATAATTTTCATTTTTACTAATTAAGTAAAAAAGCAACGGGAAAAACAAAATCGCGGGAGTGGAGCAGAAGGCTTTACATATAACTACATACATAGCGATATAAACTCTAAGTCATGTATGTTATTGATCTTTTTTTGAAAAAAAAATATGATTGCTATTGCCTACGTTTCACACATCTGCGCCTGGAATGCAATTTGGACAGCCCCCCCCCCCTCCCAGAAAAAAAATGGGGCAGCTTGCGGGGGGGGGGGGGGGGGGGAGGCACTCTGGGGAAAACTCAGGCCCAGCTCAGAACAGGTGACCTTCACAGGGTCTGCTAGTGAGGGCCAATGACCAAAGGAAGAAGAAAAGTGGAAGTTGCAGAGCAGCTCTTAAAGTTGCCAAGGTCTTGGATCCAGCTGCTTTCTGCACACCTTTTCAGAGCTAGATGCTCCCTGCCGCCCACCTCCAGGCAGTGGCTATGAGGCTAGCTCACTTTCCCCACTCAGCTCCAGGAAATCCAGTAGCAGACCTCCCAGGACATTCCCCCCCACCTCAACTGCTGCTTTCTTAAATCAACACCAC